TAAGTAAGGGATTTAAATGGAAACGGTGACACAGCCAGCTACCCGAGCCACTGCGAAGACAGCCAGACAACCAGACTTCCAAATCAAAAGGCAGGCCACAGGGTGAAGGGAACTCATGGATGATAGGAAGTCAGGGAAGTTATTTTGAAGGGAAGTCAGGGCAAAAAAAGGTACCCCTAATACGGATGATTTGGAGGACGAACGAGAAAATCGGTGAAAATGGGTAGTTTAGAATTGGTTTGGTATTGGCTTATTCTAAGAATAGTATTGCCGGATTTTTGAATTCTGGAGGAGGGGTTTTATTATTCGGGCGACCTTTATAATTAGGAAGAAGTGATTAGGCCCGCGTGGATTTCGAACACGCTAGACTTCATAGTTGCGATTTTCCAGCTAGAGCTGGAAACCAGCATTTCGCGTGCTAGATTTGCACTACGCAGTCGCGATTTTCCAGCTAGAGCTGTGTACTTCGGGCGCTTGATTTGTACTTCAAAGTTGCGATTTCCAGCTAGAGCTGGAAACCTTTACTTCAAAGTTGCGATTTCTAGTTAGACCTGGAAACCTGTACTTTGCGTACTAGATTTGTACTACAAGGCTGCATTTTTTGAGCTGGAACTGGAAACCTGCACTTCGCGTACTAGGCCTGTACTACAAAGTTGCGAAGGTTCGAGCGACATTTTTCACACATATCTGAGAGACATTTTTGAGTAACACAGCCGGGCGACACTTCTGAGCGACGCCTTTGAGGACCTGAGCGACACTTCTGATCACACCTCTGAGCGACACTCGTCTGACCGACGCTTCTGAGCAACACTTCTAATCGCCACTTCTGAGCAACACTTTTGATACGCCTGAGCGAGACTTCTGAGCAAACACACACACACACACACACACATGTAAGCGACGCTTTTGAGCGACACTCCTGAGCAACAATTCGAGCGACATTTCTACACACACATTGGAGAGACGCTTGTGAGCGACACTCCCCAGCGACACTTTCTAGCGACACCTCTGGACAACATTCTTCTGCGCAACACTGAGCAACACTTCTGAAATATTTCTGAGCGACACTTCTGAGCCAGATTGCCACACACACATCAGCGGCACGCCTGGGCGACGATTCGAGCGACGTTTCTGCACACGTATTAAAGCGGCTTCTGAACGATGCCTCTGAGCAATGAGCGATAATTCTGAGCGACACTTTGATCACTCTTCTGAGCGACACTTCTGAGCAACGCTTCTGATCGAAACTTCTGAGCCAGAATTTCGAACAACACTTTTCATTGACACTCCTGAGCGGCGCCTGTCAGCAACACTTCTGATCGAAACTGCTGACCGACACTTCTGAGCAACCCTGATCCACACTTCTGATTGACACGTTTGAGCGACACTTGTGATCCACACTGCTCATAATCCACTCTTCTGAGTGACGCTGCTGAGCGACACTTCTGAGCAAAACTTCTGATCAACACTGCTAATCGACAGTTCTGAGCAACCCTTCTTATTGACTCTTCTGAGCAACGCTTCTGATCCACACTTCTGATTGCACATCTGATCGGCACTTTTTCTGATCGACGCTTCTGGTGCACTTCCGAGCAATCCACACGTCTGATCGACACTTCTGAGAAACACCTCTGAACAACACTTCTGCTCGCTCGACACTTCTCAGACACCGCTAAGCAACCCTTCTGAGCAACACTTCTGATCGACACTTCTGAGCGACACTTTTGATCGACACTTTTGATTGACACTCCTGATCAACACTTCTGATCGACACTTTTTCTAATCGACGCGTCTAAACAATACTTCTGGCCGACACTCGGGCAAGACTTCTGATCCACACTTCTGATGCTTCTGAGCGACACATCTGAGCAACACTTTTGATCGACGGTTCTGAGCAACACCTCTGGCAACACTTCTCATCGACACTTTTGGTCGACACTTCTGAGCAACACTTCGGAGAAAGGTCTCTCGCCACGTCTCTTGTTTCAAAATGTCAGCAAGAACCCAAAGTGCGCAAATGCGCGCCACGCCACAGCGAGAGCGATTCGACCCACCCAAAGTGTGCAGAGGGTTCACTTTGCATTTTCAAAATGTGCACCGGGCCACGGCAAGAGCGATTCGACCCACCCAAGGAGCGCAGAGGGTCCATTTTGCATTTTTTTAAAATGTGCGCCGCGCCACAGCGAGAACGATTCGACCCACCCAAAGTGTGCAGAGGGTTCGCTTTGCATTTTCAATGTGCACCGCGCCACAGCGAGAGCGATTCGACCCGCCCAAGGTTCACTTCAGCAAGAGCGATTCGACCCGCCCAGGGTTCACTTTGCATTCGCGCAATGTGCGCGGCGCAGCATGACCGTGAAACCCTTCCCCAATGGAATGGCAATGAATTCGTGCGAGAAGTGTTTTTTCCAGCGGGCCAAAACGAGCCGATTGCACAACAGGGTCAACGAAAACGACGCTCCAGCAAACGCTTGCGCGAGCATTCCAATCAAAACACTTCAAAACGAGAGCGAATCCCATTGCATTTGAATCGCAAACGTGAAGCCTCACGAAACATTGACGCTTGCGTAGAGACACGTCCAACGAGAACAGCGCATCGCAAGTCATCAAACTCACGCGTTCTACGCTTCCCCACTGAATCGACGACACCGCGACGACGCTGCGACGACACGACCGACACGACGCGAACAAGGGTCCAGCCCCAGACCCCCAGACTGTAAACGGGAACCTTTCGCTACGCTATTCGGGAATAATCCGTAAAGGTGATAATCCGCTACACGGCCTTAAATCCGATCAAGCCGCCGGTATACACATGGCTATCCCTTAAGAACATCCGGGGGCTAATTTTAAGTGGTTTGCAAAAACAGGCGTGAAAAACTTGGTGTTGTGCCGCAACGTGCCTGTGACGTGGGCCAATTACGGTTGTCCCTTGGTGGCCTCGGCCTTGCCTTTGCTGTCGCAAATTCGGCGCCGGCCGCTGCAGCTGCTGAGGCACGCCGGCATCGTGAGGCCTTGCTGGCCGGCGCTTCGCACTTCGGTCCGCTTTGCGCGCCAAGTCACGGTGCACCTTGTCCCTTCCTCGATTCGTCAGTGCCCCACCTTACATGGTCAACAAGTACTTCCCTTTTTCGCGGACCGGAAATTGCCTCTTAACATGGTCAAGCTTTTGAGCTCCATGTGTCTTCCTTCCTTTCTCTTTAGAGAACAGCTTTGCGACTTATTAGGGGGTCCCCTTCCCCCCCCCCCCTTCCTCTTGCCGGGCTCGCATCCACTGGTCCTCCCCCCCCCCCAAGCGTTGACTTGGGCTTAGTCTTGCTCAGTCTTCTCAGGAAAGCACCTTGCAGGAAGCCATAGGAAGCCGTGCGCAAGCCACATGCAGAACCCAGGTAAGGTATTTTCAGACGATTTTCGTTCATTTTTCACGGTTTGCCGGGCTACCATCATGTCAGCTTGCGTGTAGCCTCCTGAGGATCACCACGGCGCCTCTCATGTCATGGCGCCCAGTCTGTTTCCGACCCGTTTCATACAACAGTTGCTAGCTTTCGTTCACCCCCTCCTCAAGTTGATGAACCCAGAACAGCTTAGAGGCGCAGCGGAGTCTGCGCAAGCTGACGCGCTGGGTTGGGCAAAGCTTGGGGTCGCTCTGTGAACTGCCTGACGACGCTTCTCCAAGCTGGGCCTTTGCCCCTCTCGGCTCTTAACCTCGCCCGTGTGCCACTGCGCCTTGGTAGTCTCGCCGTCGCGGCCGCCTCGCCGCATACTGGGCTTCGGGGGGTAGCTTGCCCGCCTTCCAGCTCCCGAGTTGTTGGGGGATGTTGGGGCTTGCCGCTTGGCGAGCCACTGGCAAACAGCGGTGCTGGGCCTCCCTTTGCCCAGCCCGCGGCGCCGGGATTCAAATAGCCGGTGAGGAGCTGGCCTCTTTAAAAACAGCCTCCTTGTGAGCAGGGGCTTTGCTTTGTTCTGCTAAGGGTGGAAAACACTATCGAACAGGTTGAATTCGAGACATATAACTCTGTAAGGGGCCCGCTTTGGTTCTGGCACTTGCGAGCCGTCCATCACCAACTATCAGAATCAGCGTTTGCCCGGGTTTGACACGCCCTCTTGGTTGTTGCTGCTCTTTTGCTTCGCTCCCCGCTGCAACTACCTTCTCCGGACCCCCTTCGTCAGTCACAGCCGAGCACGCCGGTGCTAAGGCCTCTGCGACGGTGTGCCTGCCGGCTTTGCAGGAGGACGGGCCCTCCACCTTTGTTCGCGGATGGCAAGGGGCTGCAGCCGCAGCCGTTGGCCGCCACAGGCGTGAAGCATCGGGGCCGGCTGCCTCTTTGCCCATGCCTGAAGCATCAGCTTCCGACGTGATCTGCTCGTGGGTAGAAAATGTCAACTCTGTGTCTGTGCACGTGATGGGGCGCAAGCGCAATTCGATTTGGTCTCGCCGGCCGCGTCGAAGGCGGTGCTCCTACCCGCCATTTGTAGGCAGGTCGTACTTAATTCACTCTTTGACTCCGCTTCGCTGATACGTGTAGCAGTCTCAAAGGGCGAGACAAAGTCTTGTACTTGTAAGGAAGGCTTCTCGGCTGTTTTTCTCCTTGTTTCGGCCAGGCAACCAAAGAGTAACATTTTGCACAAAGGTAAAGACTTGTCTTTGTTTCCTTCCCTTGCCCCAAACATTTCAACAGAAGTTCTGAATAGCGCTGCTCTTCCGGAGCAATAGGTACTCCTATACACCCCATCCCTAGGAAGTAGCCCAAATTCATTAAAAGAGACTTCTTGTAAAGGATTCTGAGACCTGTAGCTCGCTTGCCTACACATTGGTGCCATTATGGCTCAACAGCTTGGTGCACCAACTTCAGGAAATGTCATGCAGCCGGCGCATGAGTGCACGACAGACTTGGAAGGAAACATCATGTTTGCATGCCTGTGTGCTTGTCATGCGCGTAGGCTTCACACATGCCACATCTTGTGAGGCGTGACGACTGTCAAAAAGACACTAACACATTTGATGCCAGTATATGCCAGTGTAGCGCCATAGTGCCCCACATGGCGAGTGCTCCTGTGGACAGGGTTGTTGTGCATCAGGGTTGTTGTTTGCCAGCAGCATGTATGTTGAAATCATTTTCCCGCTCCTTCCAGCATCGTGCCCGCTTCTTTGACCAATGTGCTTCTTGCGGTCACGGATGTCATTTGATCCTTTGGTTTTGGAGCACCTGGCCTTTTGCAAGGACTTTACGGAAGTAAAGGAGGAAGACTCTGCTTTGGAAGAGGGCACCTTGATCGCCCAGGATGGAAACAATACACTAGTTCGTTGCTTATTGGGAAGTGCAAGCGGCAGGCGCCGCCTGTGGACGCCGGGGGCGCATTTGAGGCGGTGTTGTGCACATTGTTGATCAAGCGGCGAAAGTAAGATTTTAAGCGGCATCAGGATGAAGAGCAACCCATCGTGGAAGCCGGAACGGTCATCGCGCAGGTGCCGTCGCGTTCGCTCGCATGTCGGTCTGATGTTGCCTCGCGTCCGTCGCGCTGGGATGCATCTCCAGGTTCCCCCAGCGGAAGAGGCAAGGATACGTGGCGCTTGTTTGTATGACATGCGCCCGCATTTCTCTCGGCGGATGCATGTGAATTGAATGGGAACATGAGTGGCCCTATTCCCTATTCCCAATCCGTTGAAATCGTTGGCCCTGCGGCAGGATTCAGAAAGCGAGGACGAAGAGGAGGAGCCGCCTATCGTAGAAGGCACCCTCATTTCGCAGGCAGGACTTTGTGCTTTGTGTTTCAGGGGGCATCCAGGAACCTGGCATGGCCATTCGCTGAGTGACCGGTTCTGACAGCAAACCGCAGGGAACTGCTGATGCCGAAGCTGACGCTTCAGGCCCAAATCTCAGGTCACCTAATCCCATGGCCGAAACCTATATGATCCGTACAGCTTCACCGGCGTTGCTTGGAACACCTGAGGCCAGCCTGATGCAGAGGAGGTTCCATGGCTTAACTTATTCGGCTTGGGGTGGTCTCTCGCTCCCTGTGAAATGGACGAAATCGTCGCATTTTCCAGTGGTCTCTAGCTCCCTGTGAAAATCACAAAATTGACGCATCTCCCTGTAACAGAGGGTTCTGTTACATTCCTGTTTCCTGTATACCGCTTTTGCTCCTGTGATGGCGCCCGGCAGGATCAGGAAAGATGGAGGCAAAAACGTTGCTGGGGGCTCAGTGCTCCATCTCTCACAATTGACCTCTGTCCTTTCAACACTTCGAGTCCAGACCCGCTGCATACGCATAATCCCGCAAGGAAAGATGCCAGTAGGTTCGCAGCGTGGAGTTAGTTCAATGCGTCGGTCCAATGCACAGCTGTGAGAGGATTCCGCATGTACGTTTTGCCGAAACCCGGTCTAATCACACCGGTGCAGCTTCAGCCTGTGACTGTGGGGACTTCTCTAATCTGTGTGGTTTGGACTTAGGGCGATCGCCAGACCCGCCCCGTCCTCAGAGTCCTTGGCTCGAGATTGGTTGAAAAGGGGGGGGGAGGACCCAGGGAGGGTTTACCCTGCGAAGGCACCACGAGTTTCAGGCTAAGCAAAGTGAGGGGGCGGTCTGCTTTTGCATAGGACAGATGACGTGGATGGACGCCGAGAGCGACCACCCAGCTATGGACGGAGAAAGGCCTCATGAGTTTGCATGGGCCACTGGTAGCTTGCTCACAGACAAGCGGCTCAGACTTTGTGAAGGCTTGGGAAGTTCCAGGAGTTGAAATGCTGACGCATGCTTCGAATGTCCCGGAGAAAGCTGTGGCATAGCGATGTTGTTTTGCGAGTGTATGTTTGTTCACTTGCTTGCTCGTTCCGTTTCTGCGTTTGCGATTGCGTGCATGCATGCATGTGCGTGCGTGCATGTTTTCGTGTTCGTGCGTCCCGTGGCGGTGCATTTGCAGGCCGTGGCCGTGCTCAATCTTCAGAGAAGCTGGATTAAATCCGCTGAGGACGTGCGATGGCATTTGGAGCAGGACATGCCAACTGTTGCGATGGGGGTGCTTACTACTACCGCCTTGCCGCCTTGCCTTGCTTGAGGATGATAGCGTCGCAGCCAGCTCGACGAGCGGCTGGGATGGAGTTGTTTGCCCCACTTTGGCTTTACAGCTAAGCACGCAAGAATGAGGCAGCATGAGGCTTGCTTGCCTTCGTGAATGCCTCACCACATGCATAGTCACAATGTGTTCGGCATTGGTGGCTCCTAGGTCTTCTGGATTATCAGGAGGTTGACTTCTCCAACAACAAGATGACCAACATGGGGCTGTCCGAAGTGGTGAAGCTTTGCAAGAGATGTCCTGGCTTGCGGGTGCTGAAGCTTTTTGGGAACGCCATCGATGATGAAGGCGCCATGGAGTTGGCGAGCATCATGCGCTACTGCAGAGTCCTGGAGCAGCTGCACTTGAGCCACAACTGGATCACGGAGAAAGGCGTGGTGGCCCTTGTGGAGCAGGCAGTTGAACATTTGGAGGACGCCTACCAGCATCCGCTTTGGCTGAGGGTGGAAAAGAATAGGTTAGCTGACGCCCCGCGGTGCGCACAGGAACTTCTAGAAAGGTATCCAAAGATCCTTTGCCCTCGAGAGGACAGACGTCGCTGCACAAACCGGACCTGCATCAACCAGTGCCGAATTCACATTCCGTTTCTCATTGACGAGCGCAGCGGCAAGGGCAAAGATTGGCGAAACTGGAAGTTTGAGGATGGCTACAGCAACAGCCGCTATGGAGGCCACAACTCCTGGAGTTCGCATAAGTCCTGGCGCCAGCCCTCGAGAAGCCGCACCCCGCCTTGCGCTGTCCGCCTCAGAGAGCGCGACTCACGCCGGGAACGCACGCCCATCCATCGTCGGGAGGTCTACTACCGGGAGATCACCACGTATCCGCAGCCGCAGAAGCCGCGTGCGCCGCGGGAGGCACGTGAACGACGAGAGCCCCGACGCGCGCCCACGCCACCGCAGCCGCGGCGCCGCAGAGCCTCGCCGCGCCGCGAGGTCCTCAGCCCGCCACGGGCCAGAGCCCGCTGGGAGCCGGAGCAGCCCAGGCGCAATCGCATTCCTGACCCACCCGTTGCAGCACGGGCGACCCGGCCAGTGCAGCCTCCTCCTAGGCCACCAGTTCGCCGCCCCCCATCACCCCCACGGCCCAAGGCACACCAACCCACGGCTGCCCCGCAGCCGGAGGAATCTGAGTACGACTCTTATGACTACTACACTGATTACAGCTCAGACGAAGCACCGCCGATTCCGCCTGCGGGCCATGTGGTCGTTCCACCGGTCAAAGCGCCTCAAGGCCCACTTCGTTATGCTCGCGCGCCGCCTCTCACCAACCATCAGCAGGCACAAGAGATCTACCAAAGGCGCGCACCTTTTCCTCAGGCCGTGGGGCAGCGCGCTGGCATGGAGGTCTACAACAAGCGCAGGAGATGAGCCCTACAGCATGCTGACTGGCAGGTTGGGCTTGGATTGTTTTTTGGCAGTCACGGGTCAGTTTAGTATCAATCCTTGCATTGGCGAGTAGGCCAAGTAAGGCGTCACGGCAGATGCGGAAAGAACAGTTCTCCGCTGTGGATACTCGCCTGCCAGATTTCGCCCGGAAATTTGCAGCCGAGCCGCTAGCCTCCGGTGGCAAGAGGCTTTGTGAAGGCTGCAAGATTTGAGAATAGGATGCTTCGAGATGCCAGTCGTTGCAAAATGGTTGATGCATGCTGACACCAACAATTAAACATGAACATGCATGTCACTCTGTTGACGTTCTTGCAAATAGGTGTACATGTTGGTGTAAGTATGTATGTATACGTATGCACCCGATTTAGGCTTGTGCCTTGTGTTTGTGTTTGTGCGTGCATTCTTGGGTATTTGCTTGCCAGCGTGCCTGCACGCGTTCGTGCTTGCGTGTTCGTGTGTGTCTGGGTCTGTGGCTGCGGCCGTGTCTGTGTTTGTGTCTGTGTCTGTGTGTCTGCGTCTGTGTCTGTGTCTGTGTCTCCGTTTGTGTGTGTTTGTGTGTTTGTGTGTTTGTGTGTTTGTGTGTTTGTGTGTTTGTGTGTTTGTTTGATTGTTTGTTTGTTTGTTTGCTTGCTTGCTTGTTTGTGTGTTTGTGTCTGTGCCTGTGCCTGTGGGTCGATGTTTGTGTCTGTGTCTGTGTCTGTCTCTGTCACTGTCTCTGTCTCTGTGTCTGTGTCCGTGTCTGTGTCTCTGTGTCTGTGTGTCTGTGTGTCTGTGTGTCTGTGTGTGTGTCTGGGTGTCTGGGTGTCTGGGTGTCAGTGTGTGTATGGTTGTGTGTCTCTGTGTGTGTGTGCATGTGTGTGCGTTTGCTCGACTTGTGCGCGGGTTGTCTTTCTCTCCCTCTTTGTCACTGTTTTTTTTGTGGTTAATTGAATCATATTTGTGTTTGTCCCAGTCTGTCTCTCTCTCTCTCTCTCTCTCCCTCTCTTTGCTGTTTGTGGGTGTCTTCATCTCTGTCTCTCTGTCACTCTGTTGTTTCTCGGTCTCGTTGTGTCTCCCTTGCTCTTTCTGTCGGTCTGTGCATTGAGTTCCCTATCTCTTTGAATGCCTGTGTCTATGTCGCGTGTTGGTCTTTCTGTCTGCCTGTGCCTGTCTCTCAATCTCTTTGTCTCTGCTAGTTCCTGTCTTTCTGTTTGTGCCACCTCTCTGCCTGCGTGCTTGCGTGCCTGCGCGCCTGCGTGCCTGCGTGCCCGCCCGCCCGCCCGGCGGTCAGTTGGTCGGTCGGTCGGTCGGACGGTCGGTCGGTCTGTGTGTCTGTCTGTCTGTCTGTCTGCCTCTGTGTCTCTGTGTCTCTCTGTCTCAGTGTCTCTCGGTCTCTCTGTCTGTCTGTCTGTCTGTCTGTCTGTCTGTCTGTCTGTCTGTCTGTCTGTCTGTCTGTCTGTCTGTCTGTCTGTCTGTCTGTCTGTCTGTCTGTCCTGTCTGTCTGTCTGTCGTCCGTGTCTGTCTGTCTGTCTGTCTGTCTGTCTGTCTGTCTGTCTGTCTGTCTGTCTGTCTGTCTGTCTGTCTGTCTGTCTGTCTGTCTGTCTGTCTGTCTGTCTGTCTGTCTGTCTGTCTGTCTGTCTGTCTGTCTGTCTGTCTGTCTGTCTGTCTGTCTGTCTGTCTGTCTGTCTGTCTGTCTGTCTGTCTGTCTGTCTGTCTGTCTGTCTCTGTCTGTCTGTCTGTCTGTCTGTCTGTCTGTCTCTGTCTGTCTGTGTCTGTCTGTCTGTGTCTGTCTGTCTGCGTCTGTCTGTCTGTGTCTGTCTGTCTGTCTGTCTGTCTGTCTGTGTCTGTCTGTCTGTGTTGTCTGTCTGTCTGTCTGTCTGTCTGTCTGTCTGTCTGTGTCTGCTGTCTGTCTGTGTCTGTCTGTGTCTGTCTGTCTGTCTGTCTGTCTGTCTGTCTGTCTGTGTCTGTCTGTCTGTCTGTCTGTCTGTCTGTCTGTCTGTCTGTCTGTCTGTCTGTCTGTCTGTCTGTCTGTCTGTCTGTCTGTCTGTCTGTCTGTCTGTCTGTCTGTCTGTCTGTCTGTCTGTCTGTCTGTCTGTCTGTCTGTCTGTCTGTCTGTCTGTCTGTCACTCTGTTTCTCTGTCTCTCTGTCTGTATGTCTGTATGTCTGTCTGGCTGTCTGTCTCTCTGTCTCTGTCTCTTTGTCTGTCTGTCTGCCTGTCTGCCTGTCTGTGTCTACGTCTGTGTGTTTGTGTGTGTCTCTGTTTCTCTCCTGCTGTATCTGGGCGCACTTTCAAGGGTGCGTGCGTCCGTGCGTGTGTCACGTGCGTGAGTGGGCACCTCTGTGTTACTCGGCATGGGTGCATTTGTTGGTTGTGTGAGCCTACACAAGTATTTGTGACATTCGTAGGAGGCATATGCTGAGCGACTGTGCCGCTCGGCACGTTGGTCCTACTAATATGTGCATGTCGCAAACATAGCAGAGCTGATTGAGGCTCAAGAAGCCTGACATAGCCGACCAGATATGTGCAATTTCCACAGGTGTCGTTGTTCCCTGCGGCTAGGAGCTGGTTGCGGCTTGGCTTGATGGGTAGCTTGGCATGGCTAGGCGTCGCCGTGGCAACATGTCAAGCTCTAACACATCTTCCTGCAGCGGCCAGAGGTAGACTACCAAGCCAAGTTCAGCATTCTCTGCTTTGCTCAGCCGGCACGTTCGGTCCGCACTTGCCTGGTGCTATGGCAGCTTCTCCAGGCGAAAGGGTGTCAGAAGCAGGGGGTGAAGGTGTCGTAAGAGGAGTCTAAGCAGGGCGGCCCCAGGAGGCAAGCTGTCGACAGACAGTGCATTTAATGTTGGTTTCTTGTTTGTATCCATTATTTTCCGATCACTGCCTCTTCCTGATTCTTGTCCGCGAGTTATTGTAACGACCCATGCCTGAACCTCCGATGCATATCCCAAGGGAGATCACCTGCCACTCGCAGCCCCATGCGTTTCATTTGGTGGTTGCGGCCATTGGCGGTGGTTTTGTTGTTGCAAGCCCATTGTTGTTCCGAAGGGCAGGCTTTGTTGGTGATTGTCTTTACGAACTGACCATCATCGCCCAACCATTCTGAGGTCGGTTGCCATCCTTTAATGAGAAAGGCATTGTCATAGTCGTTGGCGATCGACTCCCTTGCACTTTGACAAGCTGCTTGAAGGTCAATGTGGCCGATGGCCGCGGCAGTGGCAGCAGCCGGACCTTGCCATGTGAGAGTGCGGTGTCAGGCAGCCCTATGTTGCAGAGGCGCCAGGCAGCAGCGGAACCATGAAACGCTTGGCACTTAGGTGGCACCCTTTTGGCAGCATCCCCTACTGCAGATACAGTACCAAGTCGACCAGGAACCACCCTTGCTCAGCCTTCCACAACCCAACCTGGAAGCATGCGCCTGTTCATAGCTTGATATGGAGAGTCAATGATTGCACCTATAGGGTTGCCCCTCTTTTCTCGTTCTCACTGGATATTCGTGTCGCGTTCCCCAGGTAACCCAGCGCTGCCAAAGGCTTCAAGGCAGGGACGTGGTTGATTTGCTCTTTCCAGAATTTAAGTTGCTTTTACGACAAACACTAGCAATCGTGCACACGAATTCCCTCGCAGAATCAACTTGAAGGCGGCCTGTGGAAGCACTTATGTCGAAATTTACCCGGCAGAAGGTTTCGCAGAAAGGGGCCGCGTCCATTCAAATTCAAATGGAGTAACAACAAAGACTCGCATGTGAAACTTGTATGTGCACTTTGATGGCAGCGACTTGCCCGCTCCGGTTTCGCTTGGGCCTCAGGGAGTGTGGTTCGGCCAGGCTCGCAGATATGTCCAACACTTTCTCAGCATTGGGCAGGACTCACCAGGACCCGTCCCTTAATGTATTGTGTGCCTGAATATGTGGGTCTGTCTTGTTTGGAGGGTACCCCATTTGGTGGTTTGATAGGGAAAGCCAAAGAAAAAAAACAGTCATTTTTGGGGTTCCCCAAAAATCGACACACTGACCTTGCTGCCGGCAACCAACATTTAGTGCTCAAGCATCCCCTGTGAGCCATCTCCGATCCTTTTGACTGCAGGCGGCTGCATATGGGCTTCATGGCAGTTTGCTTTTCGAAATCTCATCCCCTTCTAGCAGTTGGCAAAAATGTATTTTGTAAGAACATAATGATGATGATGACCGCGATGATGATGATGATGATGATGATGATGATGATGATGATGATGATGATGAAAACTATCATCGTAGCATCCTCTGCATCCCCATGGCGCGTATTGTTGCAGCAATGCCCGATGATGATTGTCATCATCCGTGTCATCATGACAAATATCATGACATCCCCTGCACTGCCAGCGATGTTTAACGTGACAGTTGAAATGCACATCGTGCCATCGAAAGTCTGCCTTACGTTCCTCTGAACTAGGATTGGCTTCTTGGATGCACGTTTGTGCGCTTGCACATTTTCAGACTGACTCCCTTGTAGACAGGGAGATGCGCAGGACAGTTTTTTTTTGGGGTCCAGTCCCCCAAAAAGCTTGCCATTTGGAGCAAGGTTCGCGACAGATCCCCAACAGAGGGCGAACGACTAGGGAGCTTGTTGCAATCTTTCGCACATTGGGTCCGCGGGCACGGTTGTTGCGAGGACGAGAGCTGCACGTTTTGCGACCATTTTGGCCACAGCAAACTGGTTTCAGAGCGCAAGTTGCAAACAACATGGCGCAGCGATGGGCTTCCCGAAAGATTCGTGAACAGTAATATAATACATATATATATATATATGTTTTTTCTCCCGCAAAAGCTGACGTTTTCACAAGAAGCATGTTACTTTGCTCCAATGTGCCCATGTTGTGTTGTCTCATGTTCGCGTGACCTGCAGAGGCTTGCTTGCCATTGGGTGGTGGAAAATCCTTTCGCAGCATGAGGGGCTACGCGTTGGCATCGTTTTTTGTAATGCCTTCTGATTTGAGCCTCTGAGCCAGTCGGCAAGGGCTCATGGGACTCCAACAGTCCAAGTGCGCGGCCTGCTGTGGAGATCGGGATGAACAAGGCGGGGGTCTCTTTATTGACCGCCCGCGTAAGTTGCTACACGGCCGAAAAAATGCAAAAGGGCTTTCTTTAGATGCTGGGTGCTGAGCAACATGTAACATGTAATTCCCGGAAGATCCTGAAGCCCACGCGGCATGGATGTTTTTTTGAACCCAACATACGGCCTGGAAATATGGCGTCTTCAACATGCCCGGGTCAATTGGCATCGTCCAGGCAAGGACATCTCCATCCAGCCCCAGGAGGGAAGTGGCATGGCTGGCACCGAGGAGGTCCAAGAGAAGCAGGGAACTTGGCAGCTGAACTCACAAAGTGGGGCGTGCCCGATGCGAATTCTCGCTGGGTGCCAAGGCTTGCTGCACCACCCCTAGTAGCCGAAGACAACAAGGCCAAGGGAAATGCAGTAGCATGTTCGAAGCGGTGCCAGCATGCCGAAGGCAAGGCGTTTGCACAGAAGCTTTTCGGCGTGCCACCGCCGCCGTGTGGACTTGGCTCAAGACTGTAGGTTAGTAGGATATGAACAGCCCTGCATGCATTAAGTCTTTGTCCATTTGCTTGGTTTACATCCTTAGAGATTTCCAGCTGGGATCATGGCGTCTTTGAGCTGGTCATACCCACGAGCGCTCCACGAGAGAATGATTTTCTTCACGGAAGGCCAGTCAGATAGAGGCAAAACGGCAAACGGGCTACCCATTTAGTGACCGGTATCCGAGATCCCGAGGTCATGAGATTCTCGGTGTTTTGCACGTTCGCAGGTGAGCTGGCGGAGGCGAAGGAAAAACAAGATCGGGGTTCTGGCTACGAGGACGACTCGCAGGATGACGACTGGTACCCCATTCCTCCGCCCCCGGTTCGGTATCAAATAATGAGCTTGAGCTGCCTGACAGCACCAAGACGGCTTGAACGTTGGCTCCTCGGTTGGGGAACTTTCGATCGGGCCAACATGCACTGTGCTTGCAAACGGCATTCGATTTTGGTAAACAAACCATATGGGCAGCAGCTAGCTTGCCCCAGAGATCTGACCGGTGAAGCAAGGCCAATCTGACCGCGGCATCCTCGGAACGAATCTGGCCGGTGCAGAGATTTGCCTGGTGCCCAAGGACGGCCAAGTGCCAGCTTGCGGGTCCTGGGCATTTCAGGCGTCAACAACCCCGGTAGAGGCAGCCCTTCTTAGCTGTGCAGCCAAGCTTGAGGATATTTGAGGATCCAGTGGATGCCAGCCTGTCTGGACGTTCATCAGTTGGGCTTTCTGGCAAGCTGTCTGGACGTTCATGTGTTGCCAGGAGCACCTGCCCACAAAGCTGACCCTTCACCGCACTGAGTTGGTCCTCGGCATTGGCGGCAGTGGCAACTGTTGGCATATTGGGGGGGTCTTTTTTGCGGGGGTAGCTTTTTAGTAAAGGGAAACCTAAATAAGAGCCACCACTTTGTCGTCCTGCCGGCTGGATTGCTCTGCTGCAGGCTTGAGGAGAGCGCAGCCCTGTGGAAGTTTGCCGTCAGGACAGCGCAGTGCTTGCTGGAGCTGGTGGCCAACTCACTGGGCGCTTCCGTCCAAGAGATGGCACTCATGCGTGAAGGTCTGGTGGGAGGGGGCTATTTGGAGAGCGCTTGTATTCGCTTTCTGGCTGGCAATGGGCCAGAAGTGTGGTGTTTGTGTGGTCATAGAATGTCATAGACGAATGCCATGCTACCTTGATGCCGTCTCCATTGTTAGACCAGTTGTCCTTGTAAAGATAGGCAGTCACCCGAGTTTCTCCTGTTGCTCAGTTGGTGGCAGCAACCTCGCCGGCGATGAGCCCATCGACGAAGTTGATACACTCGTGGTGAAGCAGGCGCCGAAAGTGGCATGGGCTTGGGCCCTTGCAGGGGGCCACATTGGGGATCAGAGTGACGTTGTGTGCGTTGACATGCGTTCCTGGGAAGGAAGCGAGCACAATTTTTGCCTTTGCGAGGCTGTGGGAGAGGCCGACGGCACCCGGCCAGTTGTTTGCCAGAGGGCTCAAGGAGAGTACTTCGCGGCTTGTTTGCAGTTTGATGCTCCGGACGGGCATCACGACGCTACGCGGGGCTAGGTGAGGCTAGCACGGTATTGCCAAGACCGAGGTGGCAGTGCTTAATGTTGGACCTTGGTTTATCTGGGCCCCAGAACAGTCAAACCAGTGCTCCGGGGTACTGAATATAGGTCAGGCAGGGAGTTTGGATGACTTAAATAGTTATTACTTTAATATTGCCACTGCTTCGTTTAGTATTGCAAGCTCTTCCTGTTGGATTGCCACTACTTAGTTTAGTAAGCCTAGTCTAAATTTGGTATTGCCAGGACTTACTCTCGGGATTCCAGTGTTAGTTTAGTATTGCCTAGTCTAAATCGTGTATTGCGAGGACATACTTGGAGATTACCAGTACTTGGCTTAGTATTGCCTAGTCTAAATCTAGTATTGCCAGGACTTACTCTCAGATTGACAGTGCTTAGCTTGGTATTTTCAGATTTGACCCACCCCAAACAATCTTGACATAAAAGAAGACCCCCAAACAGTCACATTACCCTTACATGTGTGTAAAGAAGCTATCTCAAATTTGATGGTTGGCGGACCACTTGCAAAATGGATTTCCCTTTGAGCCAAGAAGAGCTTGGTTAGGTGAGCCACCCTTTAACAGTAGAGTTTCAGCCTCAGTACCCCCATCAAACAAGTTGGACATGAAAGTGACCCCCCAAAACAGTCACATGACACAGAATCAGGGCCTCTTGTGGGCAACCCACTTTGTTTTGACTGCTTGCCCTTACTTTTGTGTAAAGAAGTCATCTTAATTTTGATGGTTTGGGTACCACTTTAAAAAAATAATTTCCTAACGCTTGCCCCCCGTCTTCTTGTCCAGATGTGTTTTTTCAGCAACAGCTTGACATAAATCATGGTACTGAAACAGTGGGGGATTGAGCCGAGGAAACTTAATTCAGGGCACTAGTATTAGACCACGTGCGATATTGTGTTTGTGTGGCGACTTCAACTTCAAGCACGCACAAAGGCCGTATCATGCACAACATGCTGCTCTTTTCACACGGTCGATGGCCTTTGCTAGGGCTTCAAAGCTTCTGTCGGCATTTGGCATTGCTTATTTGACTGCAATGCGCGCAGGAGCCCAGCCTAGGCGAGGGGTCGGTGGATATTAACTTGGAGGACTTGCCGCAAGATGGCTGCATCCAGGCCATCAAGGACATGGGATGGGTCCCGGCAATTGAAGCGTCATGGTAGGCCCAGTGGGGCTTCACAAAGCAAAACAAGAAGCCCAAGAGAAGGACGTGCAATTCTTGGTTTGTCACCTGCAAAGGGCCGCCCACACAAACGGGTCCAACATTCATTACGCTTTGGTTGCGCATATTCATTCTGTTTGCTTGCGTTGCTGATGCACGGCTGGCCGCGGCGTGCTCCGTAAGACCGACCCTTTTTAGAGCAAAACTTGGGGTCGTCTGGGGCAATGCTTGATTTAATATTGGCATACTAAGCTTTCGGTCAGCCTTCGAGGATTGCCTGTGCCCCAAAGCAACGCCCCGACGCCCGAACCGAAAAACTTAAGCCGCCTGAAGCATTTGCCGTCTTCGTCACCACGTGTTGGAATGAGTCATGAGGCTCAGGCTCATACAGACAATCGCAGCTCGGCTCGTTGAAAGGCAGAGACGGGTGCTGAATGCGCCGTTCGGACAAAGCTAGCCGATACTTCTTGAGAGCTTCTAAGACATGCACGGCACACAATTGCCCCAAGCCCTAAACGTAAATAAACCTAGACCCTAAAACCTAGACCCTACACCTAAAACCTACACCTAAACCCTAAACCTGCACCCTATACCTGAAACCTAAACCTAAACCCTCCTCCCTAACGCCCAAACCTCAACCCGAACTGAACCGAAACGGCTGTGGGTAAGCTTAGTATCGCCAATGCTTATTCTTAGCACTTCCCCTACTTCATGAGTATTGCCAATGCTTACTTAACCCAGTATTGTATTGCGAACTCAGTCAGATCAAAGCGGATCAGGGCCTCTCGCACCCTTTCCATGTGAGTGTTTGGCCTTTGTTTCCAAGATCCTTTGGTGCTGCGCCCGTGCGTGAAAGCTTACTACTAGTTGATTGCCCCTGCATGTGAAGCCCAAAATTTTCAGATAAACCTCTCATACGGATCTGATTTCGCAGAAGCTCGGGCATGGGGGAAACTAGAGCCTTGGTTTGCTTGTATTGGATGTTGATTGCGGGCTTATGGTTTGGAAAGGAAACTTGCTCAATGCTATATGAGGCTGGGACGTTCTTTGTTTAAATGTTTCTCTTCTTTCTGTTTATTTTTTGTGACGACAATGTGTACATTGCATTCGCCGCTTTGTTGGTGAGCAAGGTCTGCCTTCCGGCAGAGGTAGCTAGCGTTTTTACAAAGAACTTTCCGGATACTTCGACAGCCATTGACTGCCCCAAAATTCGGCATGTTCGACCAAGGGGTGGTGCTCGGTGATTTGTCATGGTGGGGGTGCAGATGTTTTATTGATGCAAGCGAAATTGGGCCTTGCTGCCGTCAGGAGAATCGCCCATTTGTCACCGACAGCAAAGGAGAGATGTGTTGGCACGCGTACTCCAGAACTCAGGCGCCTCTGAGCCAAAGTCCACTCCCTCCCAGCGACACCAGTCATGCTTGTCATTTCTGTATTCCTTTTCGCTGTTGTCAAAAAATCCTTGACACACCAGATGCAACAAAGTCAGCTTGCGCAGCCCGACCATGTGTCATGAACCAAGGTCGTCACCTACCGGACAGGCCGTGATGAAATGCTGAAACCTTTGGGCTACTTTCCCCTGCAGCCTGCCTGGAAGCTTCCCCTCACTGCCCGGCAGAGCGGCGGAGCTTTGGCAAACACAGGGACGCCTGTCCGCTTGCCTGCAGGGAACTTAGAGGCACTTTCTTTTGGGGTAGCCAACCTGCATTGGCTTGCTTGAAGTGTTCCATGAATTCAGAGTTGCGTTCCAAGATTAATTCTTGAATTTCAACCAGAATGAGAAACGGCTCGGAGGTCATTTAGACAACTTGGTAAGTGGGCAAGGGGCTGGACATCGTTCAGATGTCGTCTTTGAGGACGTTTCGGAACGAAAAAAAAACAAATTTGTGCTGGCTGGTTTCCATGCAGAGAAAGGTAGGGTGGTGGGAGTAGGATTTTCCGGATACGTGGGTGGGCTGAGTTCCGTGCAGGACAGCAAGCGTTTCACACACTGGGAGCCACTTCGGTTTTCCCTTTGCTTCCTTATTTCTCATTGGCATTGGTCCTCTTGGCCAGGCTTTCGCTGCGATGTTTGGAGTGCTTCTATCACTCTGCCCCGCATCAAGGAGTTGCTTGACAAGCACGCCCTGCTGACAAATGACAGGAGCGCGTGCAAAAACGGCCAAGACATGAGACACGTGGCTACGGTGCCGCGAGAAAACGATTCAACACTTTTCAGGCAGCCTATGGTCTGTCAGTTTCATCCGAAATGTGGTTCTTGGGCAGGCCCATCCCGCGGTATCAGATGATTGTGGATCCCAACCAGCTCCCCGGCCTTCATTCTGATCACCTTGCTGTATGCCACAATTCCCATATTTTTTGTCTCAACTGACAAGCTACTGCATGTCCTTGGAGTTAACCTGCTGAGCTTAGTCAAGACCAGCAGAACAGACTGCACAGAACAGACTGCACATGAAACCACTCAATTTATCTCAATGTCTTTTTGGTGCATCAGGTACTCGGCATTTTTGAAAGCGGAGCCGAGGTTTGTGCAGCCTACCCCAGCCGGGCCGGTTTGGGTGCCCTGTGAGTTTGACGTGGCGCCAGACGGCTCCGTAGCCTTGGTTGGAGGCGAGCGTGGGCATGAGTATCCACAGCTGGCGAGGGAGGCGGGACTCGCGAACGCCTCGCCTATGTGTGGTGGCTCTGATGATCACTATTTCACGAAGCAAAAGGGATACACAGACACGATGTATGATGCATATACTGGTACTACTCATTGATACACATGTCAAATGTATAACATAGATACCTAGTTATTTGTGTGTACCCTCCGCAGTGCCAAAGCGTGCCTTTCAAAATCACCATGACATTACATGCATACAAGTCCAGTTCAAATGCACTTGCTTCCTTTGTTGAGTCCTTGAGAAGCAAGCCCGCATGCAACAATGGATGGCGTTTCGGCCTCGTCCGGCAGGTGGCCGCTCCCGTTCTGGCGGCCGCCGTGCCGTTGCTGGCGAAGCTGCGGCGGCCCCAGCTGCTGCTGGAGGACCAACGCCTGCAGGCGGTTTTCAAAGCCCAGCGCCGCCCGGAAGATGCGGGATTACACGTGATGCGTGAGCCAGAACGGCTCAGGGCCCGGGCTTGGCAACATTTTCCCTTTTATGGTGGCAAGTGACAACCTCCCCGGATAGTTTGCCCTCTACTTATTTATGCTGTGAAGGCAGCGTTGTGCATGTGAGCGTGTCAGAGCGTTTTTCCGGGAGCGTTCAGACTCGGGCCTTTCAGACGCTCTCACCCCCACTCTTGTACAGTAGTGCCATTTTGCCGAACCGTGGCCCACTAAGCTTACCCAAGGCATCATCGTGCCTGGGGCTGCTGGTGACTCTGCAGACGCAGAGTATTTGGGCCTGTGGCACGTGGACGGGCACCGGGAGCGGGTAGTGGCCGTGGTCCTCTACTACTATCATGTCGATGAGCTTCGTGTCTGCATGAGGCGCTTTTTCCCCACCCGACAGGTTTGGGGTTGTTAGATGTTCAGTGACATCCTACCTCTAGAACCGGTTGGCCGCTGTGGCAGACAGATCTGACAGACAGATGCGACAACCGCTGCAAGTGCTTGCGCGCAGCCAGCTAGCTTCACAGAGTGGGATGTTGAGCGGGTTTGCAGTTTGCAGTGTGAGAAAAAGCGTGGTATGTCTTTGGTGGGAATTGTTCGGAGCAAAGTATTTTGCATAGATGACAAGGGAGCCCACGCTCAGGTCCCTGAGCGGGGGTGACATGGAGTTCTGTGGCCGCGAGCCCATGGATGTTCTGGGCTACGGTGACTGCAGTAATAACTATGAGCAGTTTGATGCCGGTAGCCTGCGACAGGCGTGGCTATGCGGCATGTTGCTGTAACGCCGCCCCACACCAAATCAGCAGCACCAGCAGCAGCACCAGCAGCAGCGGCGCAAGTACCAGCGCCGCCAGCACCAGCACCAGCGACAGCGCTAGCAGCACCAGCACCACCACCGGCACCACCACCCTCACCAACACCAGCGCCAGCACCACCACTGCCAACGCCACCACCCCCACCACCCCACCACCCCGACCACCCCCACGAGCACCGCCAGCGAAAGTGCCACACCAAAACCACCACCACCACCACCACCACCGCCACCACCCAGACTGCATCTAGAAACAACCAGAAAATGTGCTCTGCTTTAGCTGTCCTGCGTGCATCTAAGCTTACCTTTAGGATAGCAGTCATTCGGACAGATGCCAGGCTTTCCGGGAGGGGCCGGAGACGATAGTTCACAATTGCCGAGTGCCCATTGGCAACGGCCGCTTGGATCGGTACAAGCGCAGAACGATACATTGCGATCCAATCATGTGTGATTGCCTGCCCGCGTCCCGGTAGCGGGCAAGAATGAGCAGGCACACTGCTGGTGTTCTCCAACTATCAGATGGCCCATCGCGTGCTCCGCATGGTGAATAGCAGCAAGACAGAGGCGCAGGATGTGTTTTTCTTGCCAAGTCACGCATCGGGCCCTTGGCTTTTGATCGCGATGCGCAGGCATCCCGGGACTTCGTTGCGCTCTTTGTGCTGGATCCGGCATTCCCACCCTTGAGGCCTGCTAAAAGCGTTCTGGCGCAGTCCTACTTGACCTCGCGGGCCTTGAAGCCTTTGGCACCTGCCGTGGGCCGCATCCTCGAGTACGCAGGCCTGAGGGCTGGAATGAGTCGCGACATGTCCAGGTTGGAGCAAGGGATTTGCATGAATCACATGCAAGGAGGTCTGGCATGCTGCCACGTTGTTTTTCTTTCCCCATGGTCCACCAGTAGATTGTCCCATGTTGTTTCTTGGGTTTCTGCAGCTGCCACGACATGGATTTCTGGAGCACTTGTCAAAGCTCGCAGGCACAAAACAAAGTGGCAGGACCGGCTGGCAACGTTTTGGGGAGGTCCAAGGCTTATGCCGGACTTCCAGGGCAAAGTCTGAAGCTGCAACCTGTGGCTGCAGCTTGCCAGGTGTGAGCATACATGCAGAAGCAGTAAGCAGGCATTGGTTCTTCACTGTTGGCATGATGTTAGGTTGTTTGGTTCCGTTTGTTGCAAAGCCCATAACAAGGGTTGGACAGTTCCGGCAGCTTTCTCTTCGGCAACGGCGCCCTGTCAGGACCTTGAAGGCCCAGCGGAACCTTTTGCTGAAAGAGCAGCTCCAGCCTACAGGCCGGAGAGTATTGTCGTGGAGGTCACGCATGATTATGTTTCTTGACTTTTTGAAGTTTGGACTGCCCATCCTCCCACCTTTGTTATTGAGTCAGTTCGATTCTTGCCAGAATACTTTGGGCTTGGCTAGTTACGAGGGCCATGCTGCAGTGCAACGCTGCAAGCGCAAGCAGACACATCACGCAGTGGCAGTTGGTGCAAAGACCGCGTCAGGCGCCCTTGACACCAGTGTTGCTGTTGGCTTTCCACGACTTGAGTTGTGTTTGCTTGTTTGCCACCTCCCTCGAGGTCCGAATCATTGTGGCCCACTGCGCGCTACAGCTTTGCTAGCGATGCATGTGCCAGGTGAGTTCTGTGGCGGCAGCAACGTGCATGCCACGGGCAATGGCTGCTACACGATGGTTGGTGCAATCCTTAGGCTTTGACACGCACGGCTCAGCTGCGATTGCTGCCGAAGGGCATTTCTAGTACTCACTGGCTGGGTTTGGCAACACCTTACATAAGCAACCTCCAATCATCTAAATAAGCGAGGTTGACTCAAGGGCAGCCAAAGAGGCTACGTCAGCCCAGGTTGGCTGCACAAACTCTTGGAGGAGGACGATGAGTGGCTGGAGCTTTTGGAAGATTGGAATGGCCACAAGTGGCTAAGTTCCGAGACTGCATTGGCTGCAAAGGTGAGAAGTCTCAAGTCAGAGCTTATTTCAAGCTCCAACTGAGGCGCGTTGAACGTACCCGCAAAAAAGCCACTCGCAGCAATTGGCCCCTGAACTCTGTGGCCCAGTGCCAGCAGCTCCAGGCATGATCGCGGCATGTCCGAAGTCTTCTCATTGGACGAAGCGGCATCTTGACTGCATAGGGAGTGCGGGATGGGCATGGCAGCGCAACACTGCCAAACTCTGCGACAGCCAGCCCTCCGTTTGTTTTGGCATGCGCTGATCATCCAGTCAAGCCATGGTCAGAATTTATCTTGCAGATTGCGGGTGTCTTGATGACATCCTCTTTGCACAGTGCCAGGAGGTGACCCAGAGACTGAAGGAGTTTGGCGACCAACTGACCCATGACAGTACAGGTCTCGATTCCGGCACATCCACTGCTGGAAAATGAAGCTGGCTATTACAGAAAAGCCTAGAACTGCCCGCTTGCCGCCCCGTGCTACAGGGCCAATCTCGAGCGGTCAGTGCACCAAACTCGATCGATTTCGAAACAGTTTCTGTTTGGCGGCTGAAATGCCTCGCAGTTCCAGAGCTCGCAGAGAGAAAAGAAGCTGGCGAAGCGAGCCGAAGGCCGAAGGCACTCCGCAGATTCCTTGCCGGTGTCAGGAAAATGGCCAGAACGCTTCTCGGCGGCACTGGACATTGGCTGCCGCCCTGCACCGCCGACTCATGCTCAACATGGGTCCCTTGTCCTGCTTCACGGCATCTCCATAAAGTATTCCAGTCCTGGGGAGGAAACCGAAGGGAAACCAAGCAGGAATCAGCAAAGAGGCCAAGATGAACCAAAGATTCCGGTTCTCACGAGCTAATCCCATGCCCAGAGACGGCGGCTTTCCCAAAGGGAACCCTGGCCGCTGCCACCCATCGCTTCGAAATAGCAAACAAGCGCAATGAGCTTGCCACGACTTTTTTTCAGTTTTGCCTTTATAAGATTTATAAGATGCATCAACACGCAGGTCACAGCCTTGCGAGCTATCAACGCAATACCTGGCCATGTGCACTTGTACGCAAAAACAAATGACTCCCGAGCAATGCATCGCCAGTGGAGAGAAACTGGCCATGTGGGGACCCCGCTGGCGAGTTGCAACGAAATGCTGCCAAAATGTGGCTTCCCTTTTGGTGGGTTTTCTGCCCAAACACCGTTAGTATCATCTGCATTTGGGACGAAACAAGCAAAACGTGTCGTCCTTTCGCATCCCCAGCATCGCCACTGGGGCCTATGTAGCTCGTTTTCTGTCATTCACTGGTGCTGCTGCCAGGTCACCAAACTCAGATTCAGATGATGCTGGGGGTGTTTGGCAAAGGAACAGCAACATCGCCAGTATCCGTACAACGATGACTTCAACAGATCATGATGATCACTGCTGATGCAACGTTCAGTATGAATATGACATGTTGCCACCCTTTGCGCCTCCCCGTTCAGAGAGGGCCGGCGGATTAGCGAGCAGTTTCATGGGTTTGCGTCTTGTGCCTGCAAAGCAGATCAAGCTGAGAGAATGCGGGCTGTTTTCTACTGCTTGAAGCATTTGTTGTGACACCCTGTTTCAATGCTTGCCCCCGCACTGTAGGGCAAGTTGCACTGTCTGGACTGTCCTCCGTCTGTCTTCTTTTCTTCGGGCCGCCAAGGTGGAGTTGAGGTATGAGAAAGAGGATGCCATTTACACAGGCCCGTCACATGTGGGCACTGTCATGCATCTAAGTCTATTGCACAGAGCCTTGACAACGCTGGAGCTCCTGCAAAGAGGTAAGGCTGAGGGCTTCTTAAACCTCCTTCCTGCCAGTGTTTCTGTTCAGTTGCCATAGTTTCCAAGGAGGTTTTGTGGACCTTCTGGTTCAACCTGTCTTCCAGGTTTGGCCGTTTCTAAAGATCGGGGCAGTTGGCTGCTGGCAAGCCGCTGACCAACAGAGCGGTGCCAGGCGGAGTGGTGGATGGCAAGCGCGAAGGCTACGGTTCCTGAGCTGCAAGTCATGCGCGATCTGCTCGCCTCGGGCCAGTTCGATTTTGAAAAAGTGGCTGAGGAACAACTTAGCTTAATTACACACACACACATGCTCATGAATCACTGAAACAAATACGGCACTCTGCAGTCCTGTTGCGGTTTCTAGTCAAAGGGGCTTGCAGCACTGGGAGTGCTGCAGCGTGTGAAGATTCTACGCGAGGCCTGTAAGGAAGAATTCCCGCAGCATACGGGCAATGTTCAATTGAGTGATTGCAGAGCACGGGGATTTCAAGCTGATTCGAGCCTCTTTCATCCGACCCAGCTGGTCGGCAGACTTGGGCTGCGGCTGTGTCCGAGGTTTGTACAAAAGTGCCAACGAGACGTCGGGCGCTAAGCGCTCGAAGGATCTGCGACGAGCCCTTCCTCAGGATTGAAATCCAATTTGGCTCCGGCTCATTCTGTACTGATGCCTGGTGACTTTGTTGGTTGTTTGATGGAAAAAACAGTTACCCATGATGTTTGTTGTTTCTTCTTCTTCTCTTCTTTGACGGGTCTCGTCACAGATTCTCGCAGCTTTTGGGGTCAGCACTACAAAGAGCCAGAGGGCATGTTTCAAGATAGTGCTTTGGATACTTCCCGCCCCTTCCCAGCCATTGCCACTTGGGTTAGCCGGCTGCGAGTCCGGTGCGCAACTCACCGTCTATAGTCCTGCTTTTGGGAGTCCGAACTTTCGGAAAGTGCTTCTGGCGGTTTCGCGCTCAGCTGAGGTATGAAGGAGAATGGGTGAATGCCAAGGGCTCGGTATCCCGTTTCACTTCGGGGGGGTTCCTCCATTTGTTCCCTGGATTCCACGCTGGTCTTGTTGCTTCGGCATTGCGGCTGTACATTGGGATAGGCTGCACTACCCTCCCTCACCTTCACAATTGCCCTGCTTCTGAGGACAAGCAGCATGGAATCGGGAAGCACTCCTGGAGCGATGGTCGCTCTTACGAAGGCCATTATACGAAACTTGGCAGCATGGCAGTGCAAGTTGTGCCTGATTATGCCGAAGATGATGACTGTTAAACAACGTTCAATGAAGGCTTCGCCCCACACAAGCTGCGCTGTTTGCTGGGTTGGGTTAGGATTTCAGAATCAGATTGGCCATTCTAAGTTGCTAGTCGCAAAGTATGTAAAGGGTGGACGGTCCTGAAGTGCCTACCATGAAAGCCCAAAACAAAGACACAAAAAGCCTTCGCGAATTGGCCGGCGAACTGGACGGCGAAAGGGCGGGGAAAGACAACGACGCGGAAGCTTTGCCCCGAAGGGGAAACTGGGGCCTTCAAAGCGCAGCCGGCGGAAGGCCTGCGTTGACGTGTCCGATCCATTAAAACATGTTGGGTCAGATTGGCCCGTCCCAAGCTGCAGTACTGGCCTAGTGTTGGTTTGTATTGGCTTAAAATTGGTCTAGTCTTGCTTTGTGTTGCTGTCGTGCAGTCCGATCTAGTCCTCTCTGCCTAGTACTCGGTTTTGATTTTGTGTGTATGCCTTTGCGCTGGCCCAGTTCTGTTACGAATGGGTTTAGCACGCGCTCACACACACACACACACACGGACGAACGAGTGTCAATCATGCGCAAGTATATCCTTCAAAATGACTTCAAACAGTATGAAGATGCCGGGGATGTCTCCGAGCGTGTGCATGATGTTTGGGGAATCCGAGGAAACTTAGCACGCTCGCATCCAGCACGATTCGCCCAAACCACAATCCAAGCGCCGCGGGGCCCCCAAAAAAGCGAGCCAACTCTGCCACCCCGCAATGGGTGCACTCGTTGATACCCGCCCAAAGCAGTGAGAGCGCATCGCCATGAGGAATGGACGCTTTTCCGGAAAGGGCAAGATGGCCACTGGGACTGCACGTAATATGTCACAGGCCGTGAATTGAGCTGTGCCTTCCTTGGCGTTGACGCTGACAGGTGTGGAGGACAGAGAAGGCCGGTTTTCGATCAGCTTCCTGCTCGCCAAGAGCTTGTCTTGCGAGCAACAGAAAGCCCAAGCGTGAAGTAAAGGGGTCAAGGGGAAAAAGAGCCTGGCTGGCTTCGGCTGCGCTGAATTGCATAGCCGCTGAAGTGGAAGGGGCTTGTAGAGCATGGCTTTGAGCACGTGATGTGGTGGTTGGGGATTGGGTTTGGGAAGGTTTCTCTCGAGGCGAATTTAACTCACGGAGGACAGTGTTTTAGCTCATCGGCCTTGCTTTACCCAATTCCAGGCATGTTTGATTGAAACAGGTGGTCTCTGGTGTAGAGGTTGGCCAAAGCACATTGGTTGATGATTGGGCGGTATTCTTGGAGCCATCCTGCCTTCACGTGGCAGTCAGGCACTCACCAACTGGTTGTGGCTCAAACTGTTAGGTCCGCATCAAGGGCCAAACCTTGAGAGTGCTGCTTGCGCAGGGGACGATGATCTACGAAGGACACCGAAGCGCAAATGTCCAAACTTCAAGTTAATCTCACGTGGCTGCATCATAGCAACGTTGTTTTGAGAGGTGTGTTTTGAGAGGCCGCCCCTTGTTTGATGCTGCCCCGCATGTCTTGGCTCGTACTGTGCCTTGGGGTACCGGATTGGGCGGTAAATGCTCAGAATAGGCGGAGCCCTTGAAGAGTACATTGGCTTTCGCGTTCGGAAAGGAGAGTACCTCGACGATGCTAAGCACGGTTTCGGGAAGTTTACCTGGCCGAACCAGAATGTGGCAGGGCTGCAGCTTTGGGAAATCCACTGCGAAGAGTATTTTGCATTACGCATTGCAGCACCTGAAGGCTTAGCATCTAATGGTGCGTCAGGGCCGGTAGTGAATTCTCATTGCAATGCGGGAACATGTGCAGGTTATGCTGAAAAGGCACTTGGTGACATATTATTTAATAAAGAGCACAATCATCAGATATCGCAGCACGATTGAACACTGCACATCTTTAGTTTTTTCCTTCCTTGTCGCCCAGTTACCAGTTAGCGCTTGCACACGCAGAGCATGGCAGAATTGTGCGGGTTGGTCCCGTAGGGACGTGTGCCCCTAGCCTTCCCCCTGCTTTGCCATGAGTCGAGGTGTATGAAGGAGGTTGGCAGCACGGCAAGCGGCATGGCAAGGCCACGTTCATCACGTGTGGCAACTCGGAGGGGGGGAGAGCGGAGGGTCGCACTGGCTGAGATTCATGTTCCTTTGGATGGCATCCATATTTTCCCCCCCCCCCCAAATCATGAGATCCCTCAGGAGTAGAAAAAGGAGTCTTTCTGGCAGAATCTAGAATTTAGTTTCACAATTTTGTTCTTCACTACATTTGTTCATCGGCCTGTTTCTGGTGAGTAGCAGTTGAACAGGGCAGTGCTGAAAATACCTCACTAAGGGCTGTCAGAAGTTTTATATTGGTTTAAGATTGGGTCAATTAAAAGCAAAAGGGGCGGCGAGGTGACGTTTCCTTTTTTCCCTCAAACTATAGTATTCTTAGGGATGGATTTATTGAGGGGGGGGGGCGCGGATGACTGTTTGCAGTTTCCACCCTGTCCACCTGCATCAGAATAATGCATAACTGCTGATTCTACTACATCATCATGCGTTTAAATTTTTGCCTGTACGCAGCCTCAATGTAGATAGGAAACGCACGCGCCTCGATGTCGGCACAGTTGCCACTCCACATGCTGAGGTCCAGCGGCAAGCAGAAGGCTGGAGACATGCTTGCAGACAAATCAAGTTTCATTTCACCTCCACTGGCTGTCATGCATTGAGGGATCTTATCTCAGCGCGATACTGTACGAGGTACATTCATTTTCTCATTCAAGCAGCGGTTGCAACTTTGATTGGAGCAAACACGTACTTCCGCCGACAGGTCGGCCACTGGCAAGATGACAAGTTCGTCAAGTGGGAAGGAGAAGAGCCAGCTGAGACTCACTAATTGGACTATCACGGCCTGTCCTGCCAGCGGTTGATGCTGTGGTGTGTGACGAAAGTCCACCATTTGGCAGGCATGCGCCCCTATTTGCTAGCCAATAGGGGACCAAAGAGCGCTCTGCCACTGCAGATGGGTGCTCAAAAATGCCCCATTGCGCCATTCAGCGTTTGTGCGTGCCACTATTTTTGCGGCACAGTTTCACTTGCTTCCCTTGTGCCTGGCTGGTCCCATCGGCGCGGTGCCGCCTTAAAAGAGCGTAAGCATCTTCGATTCAGCATGAGGCAGATGCCTTGAATTTGATTTCTGTTTTGCAGCTTGCCAGCTGGGCGGATAGCTCGCGGCTCCCTGTTCACAATGTGACTGGGATGAGGCCGTGCTGACTTGCAGTCTAGGAAGGGTTTCTCAAGCCGCGCAGGTTGGCTTGCCAGCCTTTCTTGTCATTCAACCGCATGTTTGCTTGACCAGCGTTGTGATTTCCAAACGTTCCAGAATGTGATGCGATAGATGTCTAGCATTACTGTGAGTTGTTGATGTGCCCTTCGACTGTGGCTTTGAGGCGAATCGTGCTTTTGAAGCAGGCAACAATGACAATGATGGTCTGTGATCGGTTTTAGGCGGTCTGGATGTAGGTTGCCTGGATTGGACCACGGACCATTGGCACAGCCAGGGGATGGACGAAATGCGTTGGGCCAGTCTTGCCCGGACTTGCGCTGGCATGAAAATTGCTCCTTGTGCAGCCAAGCCGGTGCCTGGCACTAGGATGAGACACTGCCTGCGCCAGAATGAAAGCTCTTCGTCTTTCAGGCGGACAGACCCCTAAAAATCCGAGGACTCCGGACCGTGTAACATGACCAAGTGGCAGGTCGAAATGCTCAAGTTCCTGTACGGCCGAGGCGGGGCTTCGGAAGCGAGCAGGTACATTTAGGCACATTGCTTTCCAAACTGCTGGGTTTCACCTGGCCCATTTGATGGAAATCTCAAGGGTTGTCAAATCATACTGAATAACTTTGCAGAGAAAAGTGAAAAAGCACTACAGGAGGCCACAGTCCCTGGGCAATCAGATGCATTTGGACAAGAACATGAACCAGTTGTCTTGTCGGAGCCGCATGGTTCCGAAGTCGCCCCGAGACAGGGTCCTGATGAATACGCTTCGCGCAGCACGTTTTGCTTTCCGGCTCCAAGTGCCAAAATTTCGTCAGTGTGGCTTTGTGTAGGTGTGCTCGGGAGGTGTGCGGACTCGGATTCGCGCTGCCATGGCGCTGTCCGACTGCTCATCTGCCTCCGAATACCACCTCCTCTCAGACACAGACAGCGAGGGAGAAAGTATCAAGGCGAAAAGGTCCTCATCCTTGCAGGCTGCCAGTCGCCGGCAAGACGCCAACTTGCAAGCAGACGGGAGTTTGATGCGAGCCAAGCCGTGTGAAAATGCAGCACATGCGCATGCAATTGCATTGCGTGGGCAGCATGAAACGAAGGAAGGTTCACAGCCCTATCATTCAAACCTGCCTTGCATGGCTGTAGCACGATTGGCCTGTCAGATGGTTGTTTGGCAAGACTGTGGCGTTTGGAAATAATCATAGGTATGACTGCTTCTGCAGTCTATTTCATGTGGGGGGGGGGGGCAAGTCTAGCAACTGTGCCATGGACGGGCTTGCTCCGCGGCCAATCGAAGCGGTTCCATCAAAAACGGTCCACTGCCACTCCTTTGCTGTCTCATCTTCAGCTCGTTTGGCGGATGTTTTTTCCCCCCGAACAGCGAGCCACTCTGCACGTACCGGGGTGAGCTGATGAGAAGGCAGATTTGAGCGGTGCAGTGCCGAAAGGGTCCAAAAGAGGTCATCTCAATGTTGGCCTCCGAGGAAAAGCTTCGCAAAAGGTCGCGGAGCATTCCAACAGTAGGCGCAGCCAGGCGCTGGGTTCTCTGCCGGGTTGGGATTCCACAAATTTGCATGTCTTCCCTAGCTCCCCATATGGAATATGTTTGCTCTTTGCATACGAGTTAATGATTTTGCAGCCTGGTCTGGCGCAGGAAGGCTTGAAGGACATGCTCGCATTGCAGATGCTCAGGGAAGGAATGATTCGGCGTTGTTTCCTCTTCTGAAAGCGGCCTTATAATATTCTGGGCATGGTTTGGCATTCGTTCTTCTAAGAGCATTGCAAAGGGTTCCTAACTCGCACGAGCGCAGCCGCAGGACCAGCAAGAGCAAACTCGCACGAGCACACTTGCAGGAGAATTAATCCTTCAACGCGGCACGGTGGGACCGAACCCACTGTGCGAGAGTCCTGCCCTTTGGTTGCTCTCATCAGAAACTGCGGACTTTTGCTACTTTGATTTTCGGCGCCACCCTCTGCGGGGCTTGGCGTGCTTGATGCGCAAAAACTCAGGACCTTTTTTTCCTCTTTGATTTGCGCGCCAAGTGTTTTGCCGCACATAGAAACATAGCTGGCTGCAGAGATGGCCGAGTGGAAATCTCGCGCAGGAAACTTGTTTGCAGTACTTGCGCACAGAAATCAAGTGGAGATCTTGCGCAGAGATTCTTCGACAGAGTCTCACAGCTACATCTCGAAAATTCGCAGCGCTGAAGCATTGTCACGGAAGGACCTACCGAAACACGCGCTCTGTCATGCTTTGCATGAAACAGGTGTACAAAGCTTGGTGAAAAATTCGATTTACACAAGCCTGCCTTGCTCAGAGCTCAGCGCGGGTAAAAGCTAAGAGGCACACCCGTTCTAGTTTTGTCGGAAAGCACCAAAATCAGCCAGTGGACCAGTGGATGCTGTCTCTGGTCAGGTTGTGCCAAGCGAAACTCAAAGAGCTCAGTGCGGTACGGCGTGCGGTTCGGCCGGGTCCCAGGAGCTGGACCGAGCTTCCCTGCCACGACGAGCACCGCGTGTCGCGGACATTGTCCGCCCTTCCTGCGGGGAGCTTATGTGGGAAGGGAGGTGTCAAAACTGGTAGTGCTTCCTGGTGCTCAAAAAGTCAAACAAGCAAAAGGACGCGCAAGAGGAAAAACAGACCAGCTTGAGACGCAGCCATGTGAGATGCCAATGTGCGTGTCGCCGCCGAAGGATCCCATAGCCCTTTGCTCAGGAACTGGAGGGGACCATTGGGCCGTCCACAATGACGGCAGAAACCCTTGTGCGCATGATGCGCGTTGGAGATCCGCGACTCATCGTGCTTGATGTCCGCGACATGGAGCGAACGTTTTTGCCTGTGAATGCATTTTGCACAGCCTGGTAGATACACCTGATCACCTCACATGACTTCTTGACTCTTGACATTGTGCCACTCACCCACTTGGCAGTCTCTTGTTCACAGATCTGTGGCTTGGATCAGAATTTTCAAACAGGACTACTTCTTCATGGGCAAGATCCCTGGCTGCCAGCATATTGCCTTCGAAACCTTTGCGGAGGTTTTGCCGCAGCTGGACCTCTGGCTGAACATGAGTCACATAACTTGTTTCATACGGTAGGTTGGAGAAATCAGTCATGTGAAACGGTCACAACCAAAAGGGCTTACGACGCGTGGCCAGACGAAAGAACTTATTTTTGGGTGTTCTCAGCCCAAGTATGTGAGGCCATGGCCTAGCTTACTAACGCTTGCATGCGCGCCGCATGCCATCTGAGGTGTATGCAGTTGGGAGGCACAATCGCATCGTCTTCTGCTCTTACGATGGTAGAAGAAGGACGCCCTCACTCGAAGATGTTAGAAAGGCCCTCGGCCACATGCATTGAATTTATTGAATGGAGGCACTCGTTTGGGAGACGCAGGCTTCTTTTGACTTTTTGGTTTCCATAGCTTCCCAATGTTGGGCCATTTCTAGTCATGGCCCCAAAAGGTTGACCTTTTGTTTCCGGGTCCTTTGACTCAAATTGACATTCAAGAAATTACCTGCAAACATTTCTGGGTGCGGAATTCGACTGGGGCACTGCATGTCCATGCCAGGAGCATCTCCTGCGCGCACCGCTTTTTTCGTGCTGTCCGAGCATGCTTTGTCAAGGAGGCCATGGCTTACTGGCCATTTCCACTGGATCGTTTCTTGTTGGCCGATGCCACTTGTAGGAAGTGACTACTTTTGAAGAGCAGTAATTGCCCCTTGAGCAACGCTCAAAATGCTGCAGGATCGATGCTCGGTGTTTTACTTACAAGGCGGCATTTGCGAGTGGATCAGCTACTGCAATCGTCATCAGTTGGGACAGGGACTGGCGAAACTTGGACGAACTGGTTTTTGGCCTTTGGAGCAGCCGCGCCTCACCACTGTTACAGGCATTCCGCACACTACATGTCATGTTATGTTATAATACGTTATGTATGTAATGTAATGTGATGTGATGTGACGTGATGCTATGTTATGCTATGCTATGCTATGTATGTATGTATGCAATGTAACGTATGTATGCAATGTAATGTATGTATGCATGTATATGTGTATGTATGTATGTATGTATGTAATATATGTATGTATGTGTGTATGTATGTATGTATGTATGTATGTATGTATGTATGTATGTATGTAATGTATGTATGTATGTATGTATGTATGTATGTATGTATGTATGTATGTATGTATGTACTGTATGTATGTAATGTATGTATGTAATGTATGTATGTATGTATGTATGTATGTATGTATGTATGTATGTATGTATGTATGTATGTATGTATGTATGTATGTGTGTATGTATGTATGTATGTATGTATGTATGTATGTATGTATGTATGTATGTATGTATGTATGTATGTATGTATGTATGTATGTATGTATGTATGTATGTATGTATGTATGTATGTATGTATGTATGTATGTATGTATGTATGTATGTATGTATGTATGTATGTATGTATGTATGTAATGTATGTATGTATGTATGTATGTATGTAATGTAATGTAATGTAATGTAATGTAATGTAATGTAATGTAATGTATGTATGTATGTATGTATGTATGTATGTATGTATGTATGTATGTATGTATGTATGTATGTATGTATGTATGTATGTATGTATGTATGTATGTATGTATGTATGTATGTATGTATGTATGTATGTATGTATGTATGTATGTATGTATGTATGTATGTATGTATGTATGTATGTATGTATGTATGTATGTATGTATGTATGTATGTATGTATGTATGTATGTATGTATGTATGTATGTATGTATGTATGTATGTATGTATGTATGTATGTATGTATGTATGTATGTATGTATGTATGTATGTATGTATGTATGTATGTATGTATGTATGTATGTATGTATGTATGTATGTATGTATGTATGTATGTATGTATGTATGTGTATGTATGTATGTATGTATGTATGTATGTATGTATGTATGTATGTATGTATGTATGTATGTATGTATGTATGTATGTATGTATGTATGTATGTATGTATGTATGTGTATGTATGTATGTATGTATGTATGTATGTATGTATGTATGTATGTATGTATGTATGTATGTATGTATGTATGTATGTATGTATGTATGTATGTATGTAATGTATGTATGTATGTATGTATGTATGTATGTATGTATGTATGTATGTATGTATGTATGTATGTATGTATGTATGTATGTATGTATGTATGTATGTATGTATGTATATGTATGTATGTATGTATGTATGTATGTATGTATGTATGTATGTATGTATGTATGTATGTAATGTATGTATGTATGTATGTATGTATGTATGTATGTATGTATGTATGTATGTATGTATGTATGTATGTATGTATGTATGTATGTATGTATGTATGTATGTATGTATGTATGTATGTATGTATGTATGTATGTATGTATGTATGTATGTATGTATGTATGTATGTATGTATGTATGTATGTATGTATGTATGTATGTATGTATGTATGTATGTATGTATGTATGTATGTATGTATGTATGTATGTATGTATGTATGTATGTATGTATGTATGTATGTATGTATGTATGTATGTATGTATGTATGTATGTATGTATGTATGTATGTATGTATGTATGTATGTATGTATGTATGTATGTATGTATGTATGTATGTATGTATGTATGTATGTATGTATGTATGTATGTATGTATGTATGTATGTATGTACGTACGTACGTACTGTCTGTTTGTCTGTCTGTCTGTATGTAAGTATGTATGTAATGTATGTTATGTCATGTTATGTTATGTTATGTTATGTATGTATGTATGTGTGTGTAATGCACATATGTATGCATGTAACGTACCGTCACGTCATGTAATGTAATGTAATGTGATTTATGTAATGTAATGTATTGTAATGTAACATACTGTATGTACGTACGTACGTACCTACGTACCTACGTATGTATGTATGTATGTATGTATTTATGCATGTATGTAATATATGTAGTGGATGTATGTATGTATGATGTATGTATGTATGTATTAGCAAATTTCCGACCAGTATGAGCCACCACTTCAGCGAGTGTTGGCGACTCACAAAAGCAGAAGGGTCAGTAAATGATAAACACAAATGCAACACTGGTGTCGGCCAGCAAAAAGCACAAAGCAATTTAGTGCAAAATGCAGAATACATGCAAATGCAATCAATCCAACACAGCAATTAGCTTTGCAAACCCGAACACCTGATATTTTCAGCAAGCGGGAAGCAGTGCCAAGTGAAAGCACGAAAAACACGCAAACAGCCAGAGCTGTGAAACCGCGAAAGCCGCGAAAACCCCGAAAACCGCAAACACACGAAAACTGCGAAAACACGAGCACCAAGAAAGCCTATAGAACGGCGGACGCTGCGCATATGGGAGAACGGTGAAAAGGCGCACACTACAAAAAAGCACGGCGAAAGCCACGAAAGCCGGTAACGGAATCTTCTGGTTTTGTCGGTTTTCTCGGTTCGCTCGGTTTTGTCAGTTTTCCCGATTTGCTTGGCTTTCTCGCGCAAATCAAGTTAGCTCCGCGTCGCTCAAAACGATTGCTCAGTTACATTCCGTACGTTACATTACATCACATCACATCATATCACATTACAACACATTACAACACATTACAACACATTACATTACACTGCATTGCGCACATACGCACATACACGCACATACGCACATACTTGCATGCATACGTACACACATACATACATGAATTACACATTACACACATTACATACAGTATACACACTACATTACAGTACATTACATCACATTACACGCATTACATACATTACATACATTACCAACATGACACACATACACACACATACATACATACACACGCACATACATACATACATACATACATACATACGTTGAATCACATCACATCACATTAGAATGCACTACATTACATTACCTACATTACATCACATCACATTACATTACATCACATTAACATTGATCAGTACTAGGTACGTATTTGCCGATGCGTGTTTGTTTGTTTGTTTGTCTGTGTGTATGTAAGTAAACATGTATGTATGTATGTAGTGTATGTATGTAGTGTATGTATGTATGTATGTATGTATGTATGTATGTACGCATGCATGCATGCATGCAAGTATGTATGTAATGTAATGTAATTTCATGTATGTATGTAATGTATGTATGTAATGTATGTATGTATGTATGTATGTATGTATGTATGTATGTATGTATGTATGTATGTATGTATGTATGTATGTATGTATGTATGTATGTATGTATGTAATGTATGTATATGTATGTATGTATGTATGTATGTATGTATGTATGTATGTATGTATGTAATGTATGTATGGTATGTATGTAATGTAATGTAATGTAATGTAATGTAATGTAATGTAATGTAATGTAATGTATGTATGTAATGTATGTATGTATGTATGTAATGTAACGTAATGTAATATATGTATGTATGCATGTATGCACGTATGCAATGTTTGCATGCATGCATGCATGCATGTATGTATGTATGTATGTATGTATGTATGTATGTATGTATGTATGTATGTATGGTATGTATGTAATGTATGCAATGTATGTAATGCATGCAATGTGTGTAGTGTATGTAATGCATGCATGCATGTATGTATGTATGCATGTATGTATGCATTTAATGTATGTAATGTATGTATGGATGTATGCATGTATGCATGTATGCATGCATGCATGTATGCATGTATGCATGTATGCATGTATGCATGTATGCATGCATGTATGCATGTATGTATGTGCTGTATGTGCTGTATGTGCTGTTTGTATGTATGTATGTCTGTATGCATGTCTGTCTGTATGTATGTATGTATGTACTGTATGGTTATGTGTATGTATGTATGTAATGTTTTGTACTGTACTGTAATGCAATGTAATGCAATGTAATGTAATGTAATCTATGTATGCATGTATGTAATGCATGTATGAATGTAATGTAATGTAATGCAAAGTAATGTAATGTACTGTGCTGTGCTGTGCTGTGCTGTGCTGTACTGTATGTATGTATGTATGTATGTATGTTTGTGTGTATGTATTTTTGTAATGTTATATAATGTAAGGTAAGGTAAGGTAATGTAATGTGTGTATGTATGCGTGTATGTATGTATGTATGTATGTAATGTATGTAATGTATGTAATGTATGTATGTATGTATGTAATGTATGTATGTATGCATGCATGCATGCATGTATGTATGTAATGTATGTATGTATGTATGTATGTATGTATGTATTTATGTATGTATGTATGTACGTATGTATGTATGTATGTAATGTATGTATGTATGTATGCATGTATGTATGTATGTATGCATGTAATGTATGTAATGTATGTAATGTATGTAATGTATGTAATGTATGTAATGTATGTAATGTATGTATGATTATGTAATGTATGTAATGTAATGCATGTAATGTATGGAACAGAATGGAATGGAATGGAATGAAATGGAATGGAATGAAAGGGAATGTATGTAATGTAACCTAACCTGTTCTACTCCAAAGTAATGTAGTGTAATGTAATGTATGCATGCATGCATGTACGTATGCATGCATGCATGTATGTATGCATGTACGTATGACATTTGATAACAAATAGTGAATGTGAGCCGATGCGGTGGATACAGGAGAAGCAATGCACTGCTTTGACCGGCACCTGCTTCATTGCATTCCACTAGCTGCATACATGCATGCATACTGTGAATCGTGTTGCAGTCCCATGGCCATATCACATACCGTCACATTGGCTTAAGACAATCC